ACTGTAGAAATTAATTCTAACTTAAAAGCGACGAGTGTCCCTCGCGACCTCGCGTCAAACAATACAATGGTATTGTGTTAGTTAAATTTGAAACTGTTTTTAGTTGTCAATGCTATAAGGAAATGAAAGTATCTTTCTGTTACATGTTTATCAACGAGTTTTCTATTAATGAGAACTTATAAAATTTTAGTTACCATCTTCGGTTTATTTTGAAGGTTATAACATAAAAAAAACTTTTATAAATACTGTTAAAGATCTAGAAAGTTCCACTAAAGTAACTGCGTAGTCTCAGCTTTAATACATGACATTAAATTACGCATTTCAATCAACACTCCCTAAAATAACAGGCGTGATAAAATCAACGGAGCGCGTGTCACGTCGCGCCGACAACTCGATTAGTTAAATCAAGCGATGCCGTGTGACCGTCCAACTGGACTTATTTGACGAATATTTTGACTGTAGTTACTCTACTCTAATGCCTAGTTACTTCTTCCTTTTAATGTGCTTCTTCTTTCGAAATTCAGCGATTATTAGGGCACTCTTGACACCGCAGCTCTAAAAAACTGGTACTCTTTTCTTAACCAATGGCGTAGGTTTTTGAGCTAAGATAATCTCCGACCTTCTTCGCTTTCTTTGTGTATTGAAGTACGATAAGCTGCAGCAGTCTAAGCTAGTAAGTCAGTCGAGAACCGAATTCAGTAGTTAAAATTATCTCTATTGCTGAAAACTCGTTCGCACTAATATGGTACAATACTCAAGTAGTCTTGGGCTTAATCAAACATCTGCAAGTGCGCACCATACTAGTACAATTGGGAAAACGTACTAGTACACAAGTTAGTACCTTTAGTACTTCAGATTTGTGAGAACATAATACATGAATAGAATATAACGAGGGTTATATGTTACTTGATATCATTTTAAGCAGGGTCAAACATATGTTATTAGCGAAAATAAATTTAGTTATAAATAGTTTTATCCACTTTTGATTCTCATTATCGAAGGTGGATGCTTCAATCTAGCAAATATTCAATCAAATCAAACAACGAAGAGGCGAACACTGATATCGTGTAGTATACTAAAATTACTAATTGTCCTATTAACAGAAGCCGTTCGGTAACGTTACATTTAGTACAGTGCCGACTAACATTACTTTTTAGTACATTCGTGTACTACCTAAGACTATATTCAAGTGAGTGATGTATTCCAAGACGTTCGGACCTGAACCAAATTAATGACGAATGCTGGGACTAGAGGCCTCCATACGAGTATTAACATTTTGTTAAACCTGTCTTAGAAATAGAGCTTAGTAGTACTTAAGTAAAGTTTGTTGGGCTAAAGGGTACACAGGACTTAAGTACGACTTAAGTTATCGCATAGTTGTCAGCTTACATGTTAATTTATACACAAGTTTATTAATAAGTAATTTTGATGTTTTATCATACTAATATTATAAATGCGAAAGTTTGGATGGATGGATGTTTGTTAGAGTTTGTAGCTTAAATGGCTGAACCGATTTCAATGAAATTTGGTATAAATGTAGAAGATAGTCAGGAACACATAGGTTTTTTTTTTATTCCGCGAACAAAGTCGGGGGCGAAAATTTGTGGATTATAAAGTTGGCATATTTTGTAAAGGTCAATGAACCTATAGCTGAAATAGTAAGGGTTTCTTTTTGGTTAATAATTTAATTAATCTAGTATGAATCTTTATTTGGTGGTTATAAATGTAATCCAAAGAGCTGCTCTATATCTATACATATCATAAAATTGGAGTGTCCGTAATATAAAAAAAAAAAAACATATTTCGGGAAGATGATGTACTAGCGTTGTGGATAACAAAAATCGCATTTATTTTTTTCTGTCTGGCCGCTAGCCGTGTTTGTTCCATGTAATATCCGAAACGGCTAGACCGATTTTGACCAGACTTTCACTGAAGGTTAGCTGACATAGACGGGCATATTATACTTACTACCTACCTACTTTTTTTTTTAATTCCGCGCTGACAAAATGGCGACCGGACAGCTATCTCTGGAACGAGTGTACCTACCGATTTGAACGGGACTTTGATTGGAAGATAGCTAGTAGAAGATGCATGCGGGGATGTGATAGATGGCTTTTTTTTGATCCGCCCTAACGAAGTTTGCGGGCGACAGCTCATAAGTAATAAAGAAAATACAAAACCTAATACTTATCAGATATTTATAACATTTTGAATACGAAGTTACAATTTATGGGCCTTTTTCACGTCAATAAATTTACATTTCAACATCCCACTAAAAAGGAATATAAAATATTTGTCGCAGGAAAGAAATAAAGAATAAAACACGTTCGAGGTTTTACGTGTATCGGGCAATAAATTTCTGTTTACGTTGTCATCTTCAGTTGGGAGTTGTAAAGTTATTTTAGGATTCATAACAATACAGATACTGTCGTGAACTTAGAGTGCGCACACATCTTTGATTGTACCACCGCACATTTGTTTAGTTTCGCTTTGATTCCTATTAACTTATATGTAGGTGCGTACACTACTATTTTAGTTGTGCAACTAAACAGTTGAATTGCTGTAAAACAATCGACAATCTCACAACAGATGTGCGATTCTTTTGTCAAAGGTGTGCAGCCGCTTTTAATATCATAAATATTATAAATGCGAAAGTTTAGATGGATGGATGTTTGTTAGAGTTTGTAGCATAAACGCCTGAATGGATTTTAATGAAATTTAGTATAGATGTAGAGGATAGTCTGTAAGAATAGATAGGCTACTCACTTTTTTTTTAATTCCTCGCGGACGGAGTCGCGGGCGAAAGCTAATATTTCTTATATCGTATTCAAATGAACTTGAATTACGATGGTTATTACTTTTGCAATGATAATCAACAGTACCTTTAAATTATTTATAACAAAGGCAGTTAAAATACACTTTGGGGAAGAATATAGACCAAATGTAGTTCTCATTATTGAAATATTGGAAATGTTTTATATAGGTACTTTCGCCCGCGATGCGGTTCGCGCATATTTAAAAAAAAAACTTAATTAGAATGCATATTAGTTCTTGCAGACCAATTGTATCACTACATAGTATAAAATAACGTCGCTACCCTTTGTCTGTCAGTCTTTAAAACTACGCAATGGATTTTGTTTCAGTTAGTAAGAGTGATTCATTTTATATGTACAAAAAATGTATAGCATAGTAGAGAACTGCTAATAATTATAAAAGTTTCTTATGTAATTTCGTAAATAAACACATTTTATGCGCTGACATTGTAATAAGTAAGTAACTTTTAAATTCCACGGGACAGATCGCGTGGAACACCTAGTTAGTTAGTTTAATTGTTTTTTATAGATACCCAAATGATAAGACTCGTCAAGTTATATTAATTACTACTTAGTCACTATCTAAGCTTTCGTGACAAGATGACGTAGGGTCGTACCCACATTACCTTACGAGGATAAGTGGATAGTGCCATCTTAGTATAGAATAACTGTTACTTTAGTAACGTTTTAATTTTTAATTCGATACATCTTTTTTTTTAACCTAGCACACTACAACTCTAATGTAATTCTCTAAACTATTCCAGTATATTTTTTAAATTAGGTTCTTGCCACTGGACACTCGAATTAAGGCATAAAATGTCGTGCTGTCTACCGCTATGCAAGTCGTACGCAGGTTTGCCGATTATTCCCTGTCTCACTAATCGTTAGTTAACACGTGACGTCATTGGGCATCGGCAAAGCTACCAGGAGTAATCATTTAATTATTAACTGTCATCATTGTGATTGAAGTAATTATTGTACAGTGTTCAATTGTTATAAATCTCTTTTGAGTAGAGTTAAACTTTATAATACTAGCTGTTCCCATGCGACTTCATCCGCATAAAATTATAAAAAAAATATTTCATTGTACACATTTGTCAAATTATCAATTTCAAATGTCAAAATGACATAACATGATGACAAACCATGGCAACCATGCTTCCTTGATATTGGCAACAACTTATGGACTCTTTCCCACATTAGGGTTTTTATCCAAAATATTTATAAAGTTTAACTGCGTGAAAATATATAGCCTAAAGCGTGACGTAAGTGTAAGGCTTTTTATTAGAAAAAGATTTATAAAACAGCTGTGATTGCTGACATCTTAGGCAACAATGAAGTGTGTGTTTACGCTTTATTATATTAGTATGCATAAGGTGGCAAACGAGCAACTGACCACCTGAATCCACTGAAATGGAAAGCGACCGATGCCCATAAACTTTAACTAAAATAAGGGAGTTGAAATAAATACAAATAATGTTGCCACATTCTATGATTTGTATAATTTAATTGCATTTTGTATAATGATTATAAACATCTTAAGTCTTAAAGAAACTTATAAGAATCTTAAATTAATTTCACAGAGCTATTACGAGATCAAAATTGACTAGGAATTAAACAAAAATCCAGATTTTAACAATAAAGAAGCTATAATTATACTTTAATACGAAGACTTCTTTAGTAAACAGTAAATAATGTCTGACTGCAAACATTAGTTCCATGATACGTGTCTAGAAACAACTAACAATTATAACCAACTATACAAAAATCTACATCACGTCAACAATAATATACAAAACTATTTCCAATACCAAATTGCAAAGTTGCAGAAACATCGACCATATCAAGAACAAGATAGAGTTGAAGATAGTTAAGTATTTAACCTCCATCATTATAATATGCAAGGTATAACATTTGGCATACGCTAAGGGATCCAGTCAATTGAGAGCTTAAATACAAACATTTAATTCTATCAGAGAAGAACGGTCACGTGAAATACATTAAAACTTTCCGATTTAAGAAAAAGTTAGTTAATCTTAAAAATATTGTTGTGAAGGCTGGTAAATTCACAACGAAATCAATTACAAAAAACATATTTTTTTACTCGAAAGTTCGTAGATAAATTAACTTCAGTTACTTATTTGTATAGAATTTTTTAGAAATTAGTTTAAAACTAAAAACTGATGGATAATTTTTAATAATTCACGTAAACTTCATCTGTAAGTAAAATGATGTTTTATTTATACTTCCTCGTAGTCGCTTTCCATTACATCAGATCGTTTGCCGAGACCGAAGCTGAACCGGTGCATATCGCGCTCTCTCTTCCCCAGACCGAAGTTGAATTTGCTGAGTCGTTTCCCCAGACCGAAGTTGTAACTCCTGGCCCGCTTCCCCAGACCGAAGCTGTAGAGTTGCGGTCTTTTCCCCAGACCGAAGTCGTACATGCGAGCGCGTTTCTCTTCGTTTTCCTCATCTTCAGCGAGCCGTTTCCCGAGACCGAAACTGTACGGTCTGGCGCGCTTGATCTCGTAAACTGTAAAGAAGATTATAACTTTAGATTCTACAACTGTACACTAAGAAAAATATTCAAGATGAAAAGTTTACAAATAAGAATTAATTTAAAGTGATTAATATTTTTAGAAGACATTTTTTTATGACATAGTTGAGAAAATCTTAAGACGTCGCATCTACCTTTGACTAAACTATCAAACAACTGTTTAGTCTCGCTTTGATTCCTATGAACTTATATGGAGGTGCGCACACAACTCGATTTTTAGTTTTGCAACTAAACAGTTGAATTGGCTGCGAAACAATCGAAAATCACAATTGTTTAGTCAAAGGGCCCCCGCTCTTAAACTTATGATATTGAAATTTTTACCTGCCGGGTCTTCGTACTGTTCAAAGATCTCTGGAGCTTGGGCCTGATCCATGTCGGAAACGAATTCTTCGTTGCTCTGATCTTCATCCACGGAGCGCTTGCCAAGACCAAACGAGTAGAGTCGTGATCTAAACAACAGAAAAAACAAACTTTAATAACAGGTAACGATTGAATTTGTCTATTTACGATGATACAATATCTAAATTCCTCTTTCAGTCAGTATTTTTTGCAAAAAACCCTTTCCAAATTACGTTTTTTACCTCTTCCCCAATCCGAAGTTATAGACTGGCAGCCGTTTGTATTCAGACACGTAGCTGTAAGCCCGCTTCCCCAAGCCGAAGTCGTACCGCGGGGACCTCTTCTCTAGCGGGGCGGTATGCTCTGCATGGGCAACCTGCATGTCCTGAGCGTCCTGGGTTCCATGCGTGTCGTCATTACGAACGCTTTCAGGAGTGCAGAATACGGCTCCAAGGCAAAGGACGAGAATTATGGAGTTCATCATTCTGTTATAAAGAGAGGAAAGAAGTTAGTTGATGTGTAAAATGAAAGGAGAGTTAGAGAAAATGGGAGGATTGAAAATGAAATAGAATTGTTAAATTGATTATTTATAGAAGTAATATGTATAGCTTTTTGTTTTACTGCAGCGAAGTGGTCGTAAGAATTTTGTAAGAATCGAAAGTCGAAAGTGGTATGTAAGAATCAAAATGGCGTCCGTAATAATTTAAATAAAAACAATGCATTAATTTTCATGTAAATTGCATTAACACGTACAAACAGTAAACACCGATGTCGATACTTTTCCAAAGTTGTGGAATTTTCCAGAACTTTGTTGGAAAATAGTTTGTATATTAACTATCGGTTTATTGTTCTAACTTTACTGACACTCGTGAGTTAACATCCATTATAAGAAGACCTCTGGTTATGTTTACTGCTATTTGCAATAGAGGTCTTAGGATACGGTGAGTATTGTCAGTTGGAATGTAAAGGATTTTAAATTCAATGGCAGTGACACGAGTTATTCGTGGAACTTGTGTTAGTATTAAAAAGCTTATAATGTCGTGTATTGCACATTTTATTTCTATCTATTATCTATACTCACATAAGGAAGCGTAAACACACTCTACTTTGTGGCGTAAGATGTCAGCAATCACAGCATATTTTTTAATAATTCTTATTTTAATAAAAAGCCACACACTTACGTCATGCTTTAGGCTATATATTTTCACGCGGTTCAACTTAGACGGTAAATACATTTAATAAAAACCCTAATGTGGGAAAGAGACATACAAGCTGCAAACATAAAGAAGTAAGATTGCTAAGGTTTGTCATGTCATGTCATTTTGACATTTGCAATTGATAATTTGACAAATGTAAACAATAAAAAATTTTCATAATTTGATGTGAATGGAGTTACAGGGGAACAGCTAGTCTCACGTACAAATAGAATTTGTATTAGCTTTCGTTTGATATAATTAAATCTTCATATTTAATAAACAGTGTGGTTAAAGGGACTATGTTGTGTTCACAAAATTAATTAAAACACCAGTTACTACGGAACGGCACAACAGTGCTCTGAGATGTTGAATAAATTATTTTTAATTTCATCTCCATTAATTTGCTCTTTCATTGTAACGACTAGAGTTACAATAGTCGGATTAACTTTGCATTAAAATCGTAAATCATGCTGTTTAATTTTGGTTTGCAATTTAATCTCATATTGACATTTGCTTTTGATAAATTGAAGCTTCCACACTGAGGTCATAAATTGACAATTATTTTTTTTCGAAATAATGAAATTGGTTTTAAAAATATCTCCCTTTAATGTTATTCAAAGCATTTAGTGATGTATCTTGTGTAAAAGGTGAATCATTTATCATTTAATCGGAAGTATGTGGGCAGAATCGTAAACTTTAAGAGCCTATTAGCAGTAAAGGTAACGATCAAAGTCGATGACAACTTAATGAAGCTGGAAACTGAACTCTTGACCGAAGGATATCTTACGTTTTCGCACTCCGTAAACTTTGATTGCACAATTTAACATTTTTTACGCACACGTGATCATTGAACTGTAAAACAAAATCAACGCCATCTATTGAGTGACCTAATGCTGTGTGCGTAAGGTTACTCAATAGATGGCGCTGTTTTATTATTTAAATTCGTCTTGTGATTTATTACTTTTTTTTGGCTTATTTATAAATATATTTCAAGATAAATCTTTTGCATGAATAAGAAAATTATTATACGTAATATAATATGAGGCGACATTCATTAATCTTATTGATAAGTCAATAAACTGTACAGAAAGAAGGTAATCCTCTTACGACGCGTGTAATATTTTAACGAGAACTTTTCCTGTGAATGAACTCCCATAATGTTATAAATATAATTAAGAATCAGGTTTCACGGGCGAAATATGTATAAAAAATCAAACCGAACATTCTCTATGAAAATTTAAAACCTCTGTGAATATTTACGAAAATGTGACAGGCGTAAATTTTTTAAGAGAATATGGAGTTTGAGCCAGGCTTTATTACTGGGTTGCTGAAGTTTCCACTTATTTTGTTATTACCTATCGTTTCAATTTAGTAAAACTCGTGGTAGCTAATTCGGAAACGTATTTCTTGAGTTTATTGAACTTAACTAACGAGCGGTTAAATCTAGCTGGGAAACCGGCCATAAAATACACAAATTTAAACGTAGTTTTAGTATTTTTTGTGAAAGTTATTTGTAGCTAGTAATCTCGATTCGCAAAAACAAAGCCCTTTCATCCATTTCGGTTGAATCCCACCACGAATATGTTTTCAAAACTTCATGATTGAATTTTAAACTAGGCTGTCATTCTTTTTACTTGCATACGGGGAAAATGTCGATCCCGCTTACATTGTAAAATATACCTTAACTCCATAAAAATAAGAACTTAAATGCAAACATCATTAATTGGAACGCCGATAAGCCGTGGGTTGTTGAAAATTGCGGCTGTGTAAAATTGAAAAAACTTCCCCGTGCAGAGCACGCGTCATCAGTTCGTAAACTGTCTGATATAGTACAGTTAAGGTGCGTTTTCACTAAACTTTTAAACCATTTTTATAAACACGAATGAATATTACGCAATTGTCAATGAAATGTAGTTCATTTCTGTTTATTTACTGTGGTTTAATCATTTAAGAAAAGGTGATCTTTCCATCACATTTAAGCGGATTTATAAAAAAAAATACTTCATTCGTAACGCTACCAATCTTTTTAACCGAGTTCACAAAAGAATAAAGTTATGAATCTCTCTTTTCTATTACTGCATATCTTTTTCAAAATGTCGTCTCTAAAATTCTCACGTTAACATTTAAAATGCTGTTTAATTATTTAATTTAATCTTACTAATATTATAAACGCGAAAGTTTAGATGGATGGATGTTTGTTAGTTTGTAGCCTAAACGGCTGAACGGATCTCGATGAAATTTGGCATAGACGTAGAGCATAGTCTGGAAGAACAAATAGGCAACTCATTTTTGTTTTTTTGACAGCTAGTAAATAATAAAATAATGCCTCTAATTCTGACAATTAAACTATCAAACTATAGAATTCAAATTAACTAATATCAAATTATCGAGTGTAATAAATCGTTCTACACCTGCAGTAAATCAGTCTGCTAACGGCGTCGGTTGATTTACGAATCGGAATGCCAGCGATAATTATGTAATGATAGTCTAAGAGCTAATTGTAGGTACTATTTCCGTATTACTAAAGAAAATGCGAATTTAAAATTTTTATTAATAATGATGGCTCTTAGACTATAAAAGTAAAAGATGCAGTTTTCGATTATAACAAAATCTAAGAGTTGAAGGCAACAGAATTAGTTCTAAACATTATAAAACTGTAATCACGTAATTATGAATTCACTAAACAATGTCACAAAGTTTAATTTCGTTCTCTTGAATTCTCATTTTAATACTCCTATGAATTAATTTAGTTTGTGTGACATCACAAAATATCTCAACGTCACAGGACGTGTTATAATTTAACTACCTCCAAATACACAAACACATACACATTAATATTCATGCAGCAAACAAGATGATTTGATTTCCCACACAACTATAAACAAATTATCAGCCAAATATTAAAAGGAATCTTAACACTTAGAGCACACTTGTTTAAACAATCGCACAACTGCGGTTGTCGATTGTTTCGCAGCCAATTCAAATCTTTGCACAACCAAAAATCCAGTACTGTACCTCCATATAAACTCATAGGAATCAAAGCGAGGCTAAACATTTTTGTCTGCATATCTAAATGTCGTTTCAGTATTGTAATTTGAATTTGAACTAAGAGGTCACCACTGTTGAGAGTACATTATGTTGACCCTTTCGTTCTCGTCGAATTAGACTGAGATAGCAGTATCATCCGAGTTGTGCAATTCTGTCACTTTTTGAATTTTAACTGCATTTTTTAATTTCATTGAATTTTTTGAAATCCTTGGAAATGTGAAAGAATTACTACATACAGAAAACTACTATTTCCCTTTAGTATTTCCATGGTTTTAATAACTTTTTTTTAATTTAATATTGACTCTATACGGAACGAAACTCAATATTTAGGTCTGTTTTATAAAAAAAGTATTTTCAAAGGCAAAGGTAATATGATTAAAAAAGTTAACGGAGATTGCCAAAGCTTTAGTTAATATAAATAAAATGAGCGGAGAGTAAGTTAATTAAGTTTTCATTAGTTCTTATTAAAGCATTGAGATGACCGGTTTACACAATTCCAGTCCAGCGATATAAATCAGCACTGTATTGTAACTGGAAAGAAAACATGTACTCTATTCCACACTAAATTACAGTGTAGGTATGTATCTAGTTGTAATCCAGTACTGATCGCTGGACTGGAATAATTTAAACCGGACCCATAGGTACTCATGAGTCGAGTCACGTATGTACACACTCTGTAGACTTTCGTTTAGAGTGTTGTCATTACAAGAAGTAAGAATTAAGCAATTTGCTCAAAGTTTTCTTGCTAATTTTATTACGTAAAAGATTTTACGAAACCAAGTCGAACATGTTTGTTCATTACGCACGTATGCTTTGAAATTACGTGGAATAAAAATTAAGACACAAACATTAGTAAAAAGGCCACTATTTTTTTTATAACGTGTTAATATTGTTAGCCAAGAAAAATTAAAATATATGATGCTTTATAATAAGCTTATGTTTCCATTAGTTGACCTTTTTCTTCGTTGAAATGATTTCCTATGCTCTTTGGAAGGAAAGATAATTCCCCAGTTATAAATAGATGGAATAAAAGGGACTATGTTAATACTACTGGTCTGTTTACAGTTTAATATACAGATCTGATTTTTATGATTTTAGTAAAGGTACATTTTTAATTTTAAAAAAATATATACTGATATACTCTGTACTAATAATATGAAGACATTTTTTATCTGTGTAAGTAACAAGTTTAATAAAACAGTAAGAGTTCAATACTGGACCGGTTTTACCATTAGAAAGCT